AAAATAGATGAGCAACAGACAAGGTGAAATAGATGAGCAACAAACAAGGTAAAAAGTCGAGAATGTCCGAGAAGAAGAAAAATAGAAACTTTTTTAAAAAGAGGGATGATGTTTTGACTAGATAGAATATAACCTATCAATATTTTTTCTACTATAACTTGTTTTATAATGTACCTCATAACCAGATAAAACACGTTTTATATAATCATCCCGGACAACTTTGGCATACAACTGATTAATAAACCATTCTGCCATGGTTAACAACAGACTGGTTAAAAGATACATATGCATATCAGTAGTTACGTGATTTCCCTTATGACTTGAGTTTTGAATAATTTTTACTTCTAATAAGTGCCCATTTTTGGTAGAATTGGATGAATGGGATGCCAAAGGAGGAAACTCCAAAGTATGTAACATGGTAGGTGTTTTACTACTTTAATCAAGCAACATCAAACTTTCTCTTAGCTCCAGATTTTACTAGCCTTCTGATCTTCCACCATGGATTTCGAATGTGAAATAGGGACATGAGACAGACTGCAGTGATAGTCTTTAAGGTAGCCTGGGCCTCTTTTGGGTATAATGGAATGTCTGATAGGAAGAGTAGGAGGCAAAGAAGGAGCAGAAGCAGAAGGTTGGGGCTCAAATTGATTGGAAACAGAATTGATAGGAGTAGAATCACTAGTAGTATGCAGAATAGGTGTGTTAACTGATAAATCACAACTTTGATTGGGAAACAGAGGTGAGTAAAAAGTCATACTTTCATTACATTTGGATAATGAAACATGAAACTTTGGATGATTGAATGGAAAGAAGTTTTCATGGAATACAACATCCCTAGATGCAAATACAGAATGGGTCAAAAGGTTGTATAATTTGAATGCTTTCATTCCATAAGGGTAGCCAATGAAGATACAAGGAATAGCTTTAGGATCGAACTTAGTATGGTTCCTCTTTATACTTGAAGCATAACAAAGACACCCAAAAACCTTGAGGTGAGTATAAGAAGGTGCTGCTTTATGAAGCATTTCATAAGGAGTTTTATTTACAAGGGTAAGAGAAGGTAATCTATTAATCAAATATGTTGCAACAAGTATGGCTTCCCCCCAAAATTAATGAGGCAAATTTGCTTGGAACTTTATGGCTCTGGCTATATTAAGAAGATGCTGATGCTTCCTCTCAACAACGCCGTTTGTTGAGGAGTTTCAACACAGTTGAGTTGGTAAAGGATACCATTGGATTGGAAAAAATCAGCCATGTGAAATTCTGAACCATTATCAGATCTGATGGTTTTAATTTTGCACTCAAAATGGGTGAGAATCAGATGATAAAAGGACTGAATGATAAGCCTAGTCTGTGATTTATCCCTCATCAAGTAGGTCCAAGTTATTCTAGTGTAATCATCAGCAATAGTGAGGAAATACCTAGAGTCATCTAACGAAAGTATTGAATAGGGAATCCATATATCGCAATGAATGATGTCAAATTGTTTTGACGTTTAGGAAAAAGGTAACCTATGCTGTTTACTATAGGAGAAGTGGCACAATGCAAATGCTTATTGAAAGTGACGGCAGGAACTGAATTACGCAAAACAGAAAGCTTGGCAACAGGAATATGTCCCATACGACAATGCCATAGATCAATATCAGCTTTTACATCAAGAGTACTTATTGAATTACAAGGAGGATATCTTGCTTTATTACAATGTAAGCTGTAAACAGAATTGTAATTGGAATTAAGGGAAATAGTAAAACTATTTTTAGGAGTGTCTGTGTGACGAAAATCAGAACTGAATGGCTAAACGGCTGTTGGAACACATACAGTCCATCTTCAAGTTTGCCCATTCCAATCGTCCTCCATGTTGAAAGATCCTGCACAAAACAAAATTGATGTAAAAACATCATAAAGCAATTATGTTTCAGAGTCAATTTACTTGCTGAAATCAGATTAAACTTGAAGCAAGGCACCACCAATACATCAGACAGAACTAAGGAATCAGACAACTTCACTGTCCCAATATGAGTAGCCTCAACCCTGTCACCATTAGGCAATCTAACTGCTGCCTTAATCTTGTGAGATACTGAAGTCAAGTGCCTAGTGGAACACACCATAGGTTCTGAAGCACTGGTGTCCATGATCCACTTAATAGCACCAATTTTGGTGCGAGAACAAGCATAGTTACCTGTGAATGCAAAGGCATCTGGTGCAGAATAACTATTGGTAAGTTCATCTTGAGTTTGTGATTACTCTTGTGTTCGAGAACCATTAGTTACCCGTCCTTGGAGCTGAGGCATTAGCATTGCCAGAACTTGCTTACGTTGATCAGGAGTAATGGTTAAACTAGACAAGGAATTCATAACTCCAATTTTATCACCATCAGTAGACGATTGCCCAATAGCATTGGCCATCATAGATCTACCTCTAGCAAATCTATGTCCAGGAGGATATCCTACTATTTTGAAACACTTTGCTTTTATATGCCCAGGCAATCTACAGAAGCTGCAGATAGGCCTATCATTCCTTTGATTTTGAATAAATCGTACATTTCTTTGACCTCCACTAGATCCTTGAGCAACATTATTTACAAACGCAGATACTTCAAAACTCTGTTGCTTCTTCGTAGTCACCTCCTTCTGCCTTTCATCTTGTAAGATCAGTACATAGACCTTATTCAGAAGAGGCAGGGGATCCATCAGTAAAATTTGACCTCGAACTGCAAAGTATCGCTCATCTAATCCCATCAAAAATTGCATCACTTGATCTTCTTGTTTATAATCAGATCCAGTGATGTTAGGTCTGTAGTTATCTAGTTCTTCCTATAATCCTTTAAATCAATTAAAATATGAGTTAACAAAATTGTTATCTTGAGAAATATTTGAGATCTGTTTCTTCAATCTATAAACTCGAGGACCATTGCCCTTATTATACCAATCTTTCAGCTCAATCCATATCTCTCTAGTTGAGTCCTTGTACATAACACTGGGATAAAGTTCCTTCGTGATAGAATTGATGATCCACGAAGACACCACATGGTTACATCTTCTCCAGATGCTATATAATGGATCATCAATACCTGGTTCAATTATAGATCTATTTATGAATCCTTCATTGTTCTTCACACTGAGCACCATGATTACAGCACGATTCCATGTAGCATAGTTGTCCTCTCCGAGAATAACAGAGATGAGTTGCATACCAGTATTGTCACCATAATGAAGGTAATACGGACTGCTTGGATCCGTAATTACCCAACTGGCAACTGAATTTGTTTCTTCTCCAATTGGTACCCGACGATCTCCAATAGATGAACCTAGCGACGCCATAGCAGCGAGCTACAATAATGCTTTGAAACCATGTAAAATGGAGATCCAGGAATAAAGAGAAGAAGATAATTTTGGAGGGAAAATGATTATCCCCAATTTTCACACTTCAATACGGTAGGTACTACAGGTATTTATACAAAGATACTAAAAGGTAAAATGATAAAACTATCCTCCAACAATAGGGAAAATGACAAAGCTATCCTCCAACAATAACAAAATGCTCAAGAGGATCAGTCAGTATCTCCCTAGCAAGTTTTTCAACTTTGTGCGGCATAGTCGCTGAGAAGAGTAAGGTTTTTTGATCTGGCCTTATTTGGCCAACAATGTACCTAATTTGTGGCTCAAAACCAAGATCAAACACGCGATCAGCCTCATCTAGTACTAAGTAGGTCGCTCTCAACATTGTCAATGCCCTCATTTTTATCATGTCTATCAGCCTCCCTGGAGTAGCAACAACTATCTCACATCATGCCTTCAGCTCCTTGAACTGATCGAGTTTAGACATTCCACCATAAACAGCAGAGACGCGAATCCCGTGTGCCTTTGTAAATTTCTTAGCTTCCAAATATATCTGATGAGCTAGTTCCCTAGTAGGTGCACATACTACTCCAATAGGGCCCTTTTCTTTTTCAAGCTCAGGTTGATCCATAATATGGACGATCATGGGAAGCACAAAGGATGCAGTCTTTCCTGAACCAGTTTTGGCTATTCCAATGACGTCTATTCCAGAAAGCACAATAGGTAAAGCTTGGCACTGTATTAGCGTGGGCTTTTCACATGCTTGTTTTGCTATAGCTTTCATTAGCTCCGCAAAGAAACCATAGTCTTTAAAAGTTTTAACAGGTCTTGGAACATCAAAACCCGACACGCGAATGGCCAAGTTCTTCTTGTACTTAGAAATGTCCTGATCACTCATACCCCTAGAATTTGTATATGCATTTCCCCTTCCAACCATAAATCATACTGGCTTCTTTACTTTTACACGAGAATCCTGTATGCGTTGAGATGGGGACCGAGAGGGCAAAGAGGCGTGCAAAAGTTTCGCCTCCATATATTTGAGAGTTTGTCGCCATGTTCTAAAACTTTTTATTTTTTTTTATTTTTTAGTTGCTGTCTTTTCTTTCTTCCAGTAGAAAATTGCTTGAAAAACTATATATTTTGATGACTTTTTTATTGTGGTACAACATGGTTTATTGTTTCCCACAAACGGCGCCAATGATGATGCTAAAATTCATACTTGGGCCAACCCGAACTGGATGGTTGAACTCCGCACGTAACGATCTTCAAATACCCGAAATAAGGTGTCGAGGTGTGTCCTGGTCGCCCCTCCAATGCTTAAGTCAGACAAGTGTGCAAGAAGAAATATGCTGGAATGTTATGAAAAACATACCTGAATAATGAGGCTAGATTATGTATTTATAGATGTTGGAGAAGGAGTCCTGGAAGGACTTTAACTTCCTGTAATTCTAGTTATTTTACGTGTTTGTATTGTGTTAGAAGTGCACAATTTTTGTTAGGATAAAATTTGTAACGAAATTGGGGTTTGCACTTAAGTAGAACTAGTATTCCTAGGCCCGACCTCANATTTACTTTTTTCCTACACGACGCTCTTCCGATCTGTCTAGTATTTCTAGACCCGACCTCATAATGGAGCCGAACTCGGAATCAGCCCAGTTTGAGTGGGCCAAGATCGGGCCTACTAGCTGAAGTTTGGGTCAAGTAGCTCGAGCTTAGGCCTATCAATATTTTTTCTGCATCACTCATATACATCCATATACTCAATGACCATTTACACTAATGTTTCCATAGAATGAAATAAAGTATATAACATAATATTTTAACAACACATCATGCAAATATGGTTCAGTAGCTAAACGAAAATCAAGTTCCCCAAATATCTTGTCTAGTTTTTTTCCACAAGAACTATTAGGATTCCACTGAAAAGTGAGAAAAACACAAGAGAGTTATCAAACTAGAAGAGCTTTTGCTAATCCTTATAAGAAAGAAGGAATCAAAAAGGGAAAAAAAAACTCTAATACCCATCAAAGCTCACCTTCTTGGAAACAAAGTAGTTAACTTGCTTTCTAATGAGAGAAAATGCCAAAATGAAAACATCATCTCCACGATAACTCAATTGTCTTAAGCTGTTATAGTCCCATTGTCCTGTTTCACATAACAATTTGAGGTTCCTAACGGTTTATATTGAGATAAATATACATTAAGATCTAACTTTGCAAATAATAAAGCACACACAGATTTGAAAAACTTGACAGTATAGAAAATATGAAAAAAAAAAATTAATGGTTACCTACAAGCCACATCCCATAGGTCCGAAGAAGCATTTTCCAAGTGGAAATATTGTAAACTAAAAGTTAATGAGATTGTGAGCAAAGCAAGTAAACACCCAAACTAGAGTAGAGACGATATTGAAATTACTTCAAAATATTATTTTATTGAAGAATGTGTGGTTGAAAATAAGTAGAAGAATGAGAATGAAAAAAATAATGTGGACCAAACAGGGCATAGTGGCCCTGTTTGGGCCACATTTATTTTTTCATTTTCATTCTTCTACTCATTCTCAACCAAATATTTTTCAACAAAATAATATTTTTCATCACATCAATAATTTTTCTTTCTTTTTCAACCACATATTCCTCATCACATCAACAGTAAAAATGCATTTTTTCGAAAAATGTGCACCAAACAGGGGCTGTATATAACTTGTTCCTAAAATTGATTAAACTAATTATAAATATACATAATTAATATTGTAAATTGTAAGTTTATTAGTGAAACACAATTGTACCCTTACGGTTCTAGAAATTATTACCATTGTATTTCTAATTCTTCCCTATAAATATAAGGATTTGTTCTCAATAAAACGCACAAAATTCTATTGTCTTCCCTCTATTTTTCTCTTTAGTTTATAAAGCTTATCAGCACGATTCTCTCAAAATCAAAGTCGATTAATTAGAAGGTAATAATTTGCTTAAGTATAATCATCCATCACGTGTACTGAAATCAATTTGGAGACAAGTGAAATACATATGCGTTAATTTCTATTTTTTTATATGCATGTGATTTTTTTAAGAGAAGTGCTACATGTACA